TATAGGGAGACAGGGTCCTTCAGGTAGCCTGGACCCAAGCTGTACAGAATTTTATAGATAATGACCAGCACTTTGAATTGGGCTTGGAAACTGACTGATAGCCAGTGCAGTTCTTGTAACAGGTGTATTATATGCTCCCAGTCAGTAGTCAGTAGAATTTTGCACCAGCTGAAATTTCCGAACTGCCTTCAAAGGCAGCCCCACACAGAGTGTGTTACAGTAATCCAAACGGGATGTAACTACGGCATGTGTCACTGTAGCCAGACCTGACATCTCAAGGAACGGGCGCAGCTGGCGCACCAGCTTTAGCTGTGCAAATGCACTCCTGGCCACTGCTGAGTCCTGGGCATCCAAGCTTAGGGATGAATCCAGGAGTCCACCCAAGCTGCGGACCTGAGTTTTCAGTGGGAGTGTAACCCCATCCAGCTCAGGTAGTATCCCTGTTCTCTCATCTGCCTTCCGTCTAACCAGGAGCACCTCTGTCTTGTCTGGATTAAGTTTCAGTTTGTTTGCCCTCATCCAGCTCATTATTGACGCCAAGCACTGGTTTAGAGTCAAGACGGTTTCCCTGGAATTAAATTTTCTCTTTTTATTTTGTAACTCTTTCAGTTTAGCAGGAGACAAAAGTGTCCATTCCATACACAAGCATGACCCAAAACATGCTTATCTTTACAGTATATGTAAGTTAAATGCAGTGCTAGAAGATACTGTTTCAAGTTTGTATCTTGCTAAATGTTTAAACTAGTCCTGCTTTGCAAATGCTACAGGCAGACCTTGGAAATGTTACAGGCAGACCGTGCAGAGACAGAGCTCAACAAACAGTTGGGCTGGTTGCTGGGGGTGGAGCTGAGAAAAAGGTGGATCTGGAAAAGGGCATCATTCAGTTTGACTTGTATTCTGCTACTTCTCTATTCCAGCTGCCACAAGAACGAATCCTACTCTTCCAGCAGCAGGTCAAAAATCTACTGCTTGAATATATTTTAATCATAATTTCCCTGACTTCAGGCCAAGCTTCCTGACTTTCCCTGATCAATTTCCATTTCCCTGACTTTCCAGAAAGTAGCAACCCTGAGTACTTCTCCCCCAATAAACCCATAAGGTCAGTTAGACAAAAAGACTATTTTTTTCCAAGGCCACTGAGCAAAAGGCAGGAAATAACTGAAACTTGGTGGGATGACTCCCAGGACTGGAATACAGCAATTGAGGGATATAAACTGATCAAAAAGAACAGAGAGAATAAAAAGGGAGGTGGAGTGGCAGTATATATCAAAAATACACATTCCTGCACAGAAATACAGGAGGAGCTTGGCTGTTCAATCAAGAGCATCTGGATCAGTCTAGTTGGGGCAGAAAACAAAGGGGACTTGGTAGTTGGAGTCTACCATCAACCGCCCAATCAAAGTGAGGAAGCGGATGAAACTTTTGAAAATCAAATTGCAGGGGTTTCAAAGAGACACGTCGTAGTAGTGCTGTACGGTTTCAATTATCCAGATATATGTTGGGAAGGAAATTCTGCCAAGTATGGCTCTTCCAAGAAATCTCCTGGCTTGTGTGGCTGATACAGTGGTGCCTCGCACAGCAATCGCTCCGTTTAGCAACGAAATTGCTTTGTGATGAACATTTTGCAATCGCTTTGCGATGTTCCCTATGGTTTTTTTCGCTTTGCGATGACCGATCATCGCAAAGCGACCATTTTCGCACAGCTGATCGGCGGTTTCAAAATGGCTGCCGGGGGATTCCTCACTTAAGAGGCACCAGAAATGGCCTGAATGGTGAGTTTTAAACCCATAGGAACGCATTAATCGCATTATAATGCATTTTTATGGGCTTTTTAATTTCGCATTGTGATGTTTTCGTTCAACAGCGATTTCGCTGGAACGAATTAACGTCGCAATGCGAGGCACCACTGTAATTTTCTCCTACAAAAAGTGGAGAAAGAAAACTAGAGGTTTTTGCTATCCTTGACTTGATTCTGACCAACAGAGATGACTTGGTGGGGGGAGTGGCAGTAAGAGGAACCTTAGGCGAGAGTGACCATGTCCTTCTAGAATTCTTGATTTCAAAGGAAAGGAAAGGAAAGGGTAGCCACACACTTCTGCTGGATTTAAAAAAAAATACAGACAGCATAAAAATACAGACCATTGCATGTGTCTGAGGAAGTGGCTTTGGATCCACAGTGGCTGTTCCATCGAGAGCATCTGGATCAATCTAGTTGAGGCAAAAAACAAAAGGAACTTGGTAATTGCAAAGAGACATGACATAGTAGTGATGGGAGATTTCAGTTATCCAGATATATGAGAGGAGGCAATTCTGCTAAGTATGGCCCTTCCAAAAAAATTCCTGGCTTGTGTGGCTGATAATTTTCTCCTACAAAAAGTGGAGAAAGAAACTAGAGGATTCTTGATTTCAAAGGAAATGAAAGCAGAGCGTAGCTGCCCACTTCTGCTGGATTTTTAAACAGCCAGTTTTAATAATCTCAGAACAAGGATATGTAAGGTCCGATGGCAGGAGATCCTAACAAGAAAAGGAGTTCAAGACGGGTGGGAGCGTCTAAAAAAAGAGAAATTCTAAAGGCACAACTACAAATGATTCCAACAAGAAAAAAAGGGGGGAGGCAGCAAAAAAGGCCAGTGTGGCTTCACAAAAAGCTCAGGGAGGACCTAAAAACCAAAAAAGACATGTACAGGAAGTGGAAAGAAGACCAGGCCACCAAGGATGAGTACAGACAAGTCGCAAGGAAATGCAGGGATGTCATTAGGAGGGCAAAAGCTGAGAATGAACTCAGGTTAGCTAGAGACATTAAAAGCAGTAAAAAAGCCTTCTTCAGGTATGTGAGTAGCAAAAGACAAACAAAAGACATAGTGGCACAGCTCTGCAATGGAGATGGGAAAATGATAACAGAGGACAAAGAAAAGGCAGAGGTGCTCAATTCCTATTCTAGTTCAGTCTTTTCCCATCAGACAGACTATGAACTTCCAAACAAATTGGAAGTGCAAGGGGGGGGGGGACAGGATTGCAGCTGGAGATTGATAAACAAATAGTCCACTTTGAACAAGTTCAAATCTCCAGGGTGGATGAACTGCATCCAAGAGTACTGAAGGAACTGGCTGAAGAGCTCTCAGAACCACTATCCATTATTTTCTTGAAATCATGGAAAACAGGAGAGGTACCAGAGGATTGGAGGAGGGCCAATGTTGTACCTATATGCAAAAAGGGCAAAAAAGAGGAACTTGGGAACTACAGGCCAGTCAGCCTGACATCAATCCCAGGCAAAATTCTGGAACAGGTTGTAAAGCAATCATTGTGCAAGCACCCAGAAAATAATGCAGTAATAACCAGAAGCCATCACAGATTTGTTAAGAACAAATCCTGCCAAACTAATTTGATCTCGTTTTTGATCAGGTCGCCTCCCTGATAGACAAGAGGAAATGCTGTAGATGTAGTATATCTTGACTTCATCAAAGCTTTTGACCAAGTGCTCCATAATATCCTGATTAGCAAGCTAACTAGGTGTGGACTGGATAGATCAGGGGTCAGGTAGATACACAATTGGCTACAGAATTGTACTCAAAGGGTGATGATTAATGGGTCCTTCTCTAACTGCGAGGAGGTAACTAGTGGTGTACCCCAAGGCTTAGTCCTGGGCCCGGTTCTCTTCAATATTTTTATTAATGATCTGGATGAGGGAGTTGACTATGAGGGCTACTCCATTCCTTCTACTAATAGGCGGCTAATAGAGTTTTGCCAAGAGAACAAGCTGGTCATCACAAACACTCTTTTCCAACAACACAAGAGGCGACTCTATACATGGAAATCACCAGATGGGCAATATCGAAATCAGATTGATTATATTCTCTGCAGCCAAAGATGGAGAAGCTCTATACAGTCAGCAAAAACAAGACCTGGAGCTGATTGTGGCTCTGATCATCAGCTTCTCATAGCAAAATTCAAGCTTAAACTGAAGAGAGTAGGAAAAACCACTGGGCTACTCAGGTATAATCTAAATCAAATCCCTCATGAATACACAGTGGAAGTGAAGAACAGATTTAAGGAACTCGATTTGGTGGACAGAGTGCCTGAAGAACTTTGGATAGAGGCTCGTAACATTGTACAGGAGGCAGCAACAAAAACCATCCCAAAGAAAAGGAAATGCAAGAAAGCAAAGTGGCTGTCCAA